TGGGCCGCAGTGGCTCGTCTCTAGACAAGGAGCTCCGGCACGAGCGTCCGCTCCAGAGCCCTTCCCTTCGAGATCTACTCGGGAAGGGAAAATACTATTTTGTTTTTCTTTTTGCTGCAATTAAAACTTTTTTTTTTTTTTTTTTAAGGGGGAAAAAAGATTCTTGTGCAGCTGCTTAAAGCATATGGTGTGTATTTTAGCTGTGCTATAAATTCTTTAACAAATGTGAGGACGTTACAGTGGGTTTGGTAGCAAGCTGTGTAGGAACCTGCTCGGCGCGGCGCCAGGGCTCGTACCTGCGCGGGGCTGCTCTCTCACCAGGCCCTTTGCAGATGAGTTTGGCAGCAGCTCGGGGGCGCGAGGGAAGCCAACAAGGCTGCAGCTCCCGGCCGCGTGTGTTTGTGCTCACCAGGGGATGCTAGTCCTGGAAGGAAAGAAGCAGCAGCCCCTGCAGAGCAGAGGAGCAGCCGGCCCTGGGCAGCTTCACTTCCACTTTCTCGGTGGGAGCAGCAGCTGCGCAGTTAAATGAGTGGGACCTTCGCTCACTCACCCACCTCTCCTCCTGCCTCAGCAAGAAACGGGAGCCTGGGATCCACAATCGCTTTTCTTTGTCTCTCACCTGACCAAAAGTCTGTGCATGTGTTTTAAAAATTGGGGCCAAGGAATCCTTGCAGGAATCAGCTCATTAGCAGCCTTGGCGCGCAATCCATCTGTGCACAAACACTGCAACACAATCTTTACTCGTATTTTACACTGAACTACTCCCTTACAAATCACTGCCGCTCTAGTACAGCAGAATGAGGCCAGACACTAGCTTATAAAGAGCCTTGCGGTAATTTTGGAATAAACAGAGGAAAAACTTGGCACTTGGAGGAGCAGGGTTTGGATGAGGAGGCCGCTCGGCCAAACGCTGCGCCCTGTGCAACCCTTCCATGCCCAGGACATCAGCACCCATCAAGTTCTCCTTTCTGAAAGGATGTGAAGATACTTGCTGCTCTGCTAACCGAAACGCTGCTGCCTGACTAAATTTTGCATAAATAGTTTCCCTTCACTGTTAGCATTTCACCCAAACGGGTGTCAGCAGTATAGCGGCCCTTAATATAGACAGCCTACCAGCTGCCAACGGAGATTTCAGCACCCTGTCACTTACATAACATTAACAAGGCTTGGGCTGAGTCCTCCCCAAAGTTATCCCAGGGAAACCGCCATCCCTGGAGGGATGCGCGGGTGCTGGACGGGATGCTGGAGCCCTCACGACAGCCTCACATGGGTGCTTGGTGCCCCCTTGTCCCTTCGGACTGGTGTGTATGACACTGACGACCCTTTTCCCTATAGCCTGGGCAAGCAGCAGTGGAGCAGCAGCCCAGGATTAAATACAACTCTTCACCCAGGGATGTTTTCTACCCATCCTGCAGCCCAGTGCCGGCAGCAGCACCGCTCCAGCTCATCAAGGAGAGCGTGTCTGCCCTCAAGATGCTGAAGTGTATTTAAATCACCTTGCTGAGCAAAGATGTTGTTTCAACTGCAATCAAGCCCACCAAAAATAAATAAATAAACATTTACATACTTGTGTAAACAGAGAAATGGAGCAGCACGGAGCCGCCGCCACCCCAAAAGCCCAGGAGCTGTGCAGCCTTGCTGGGATCCCAAAGCAAAATCGACCCAAAGCATAAAATGGTCTCTGCGTTCCTGCAGTGCCAAGGACAACCCAACATCCACACCCCGCCGAGTGGGCATTAAAAGATAGCAATTATCCCTAAAAATACCGCATTTACTCCCCGTTGTTATACTGAGTGGTCTAAGAGGTCTGGCCCTGCCAAGCTGCAGAGCTCTGGCCCCGGAGTGGCAAGGAGAAGGCTCCGCATTTTGATGTATGCTGTTGACTTCTCCAACACAGAGCAATTTGTAATAGCTTCGCCACGCTGTTGTTTTCAAAGCTCCTGCTACATCACAAGCATTTATTTCTGACCACAGAATTACATTTATTCAACAGAAAGCAGCTCAGGGTCTTTAAGAGGTTAACTTCTGGAGTGCTTGGCTGCTCTCCAGCCTCTGTACTAGAATCAGCGCTAACGCAACAGCGCACAACAGCACCCAGGCTAGCCGTGATTAATAGAGTGCTGAATACGCTGCTTTCCACATACACACACTTTTCATTCCCTTGCTTCCATAGATCATGGACTTATCCTCAAAATATCTGACTGAAATTGAATTTGGCTTCTCTCTCAACCGTTCATTTCCTATGTTATGCAAGGTTATATCCTTTTCTGCATGAGCAGAACCAAACCAGCTGCAGCTTTTGAGAAGAAAATGTGTTTTCAATTATGAGGCTGGCCTGAATATTGAACCACAGTTCTACTGCTCCTCTAATTGAGCCATCATGGAGCGAACCTACAGGAAAGAAATTGTATTAATTAGGTTTGTAAATTTAACGTAAGGAAATTAAAGGTGGGGGGGGAGAAGTGAGATGAAGATCAGCTCAGGAACACTCCTTTAGAGGCGCAGAAGGCGGCGTGTTTTCAGTTCTTAAGACATATACATTAATAAAGTGCTCGTTCCCAGGCAAGATTAGGAGCTGCAGCACACCCATCAGGTCTCCAGCTTCTGTTGCCCGCATATGGAAAATTATTAAATTACTCCCCTGAGCAAACTGATAGCTTAAAGAGCAGCGCAGCGAAGCAGGGAGCCCGAGCGCTCTCCTCGGAAGGGCAGGAGCCTTGGAACGACTTGCTCAGCGAGAGGTAAATGTGGGAAGGCTTTTGCAGGGACTGAGCACAGCCCGTGTCCGGGAGCACCCGCCTCGCCGGCTTCTCCCGGCGCGGGATTCCTGCGCTGCCGTCGGGCAGTGCTCTTAAGCCACATGAAAAGAATGCCAACGACCTCAGGAAATCCTTTCCCAGCCTTAAAATATCTATTTGGTGACTTCACAAATACGGATGCGGACGCTCAGTTTCCACACCACAGCTGACGTTCTTAGGCTGTGCTATTTGATGGAACTAGCTGTTCGTATTGCTGATTTCACGCGCAAATATCCGTGCACCCGGGTAAACACGATAACGCGCTGCAATCTGCTGCGCTCGGGAGGGTTATTCCGATGGCTGCTTGAAGATGGTTGCCTTGCTAACTTGAAAATTCTATGTAATCATTTTAATGCTCAAATAATAAAGCTCTTTAGCCTTTCATGAATGTGCTGTGTATTTAGCACAGGATACCCCGCGCCCAGCATTAAGATGATGCATCCTCTGGTTAACTGTAAGCAAACAAACATGCAATTTAAGATGGAAACAACAGGAATTTACATCTCTTAAATTAATTACTTCTGTCTTGCCCATAGTAGCCTATTTATACCAGCCAAGTTTTAAATCTTCCAGGAAAGTCAGAAAAGCTACCCGCAAAAATCAAAAGGTCAATGCTATCCACTTTGAATCAGACACAACATTCTGTTCACTTCCAAAAACTGCATTCAAATTTCCATTAAAATCCTGAAGAGGGAAGAGGTATGATAATAAAATGATACTACAATGATGAATTAATAGCATCTCAAATGCACTTTGAATGAATTTAAAAATTTGTAGCATGCTAAGTTCCATTTCACAATGCTTTGGCTTTAACTATCACCAGGATAAAAAGCACACTTACTCAAACCTTCCAAATCATTAAAAAAGGTTATTTCCAGGAACTAATGGAAATGAGGTATTTGAGAACTGGAATGGACTTCATCTGCAATCTCTTTTGATTGAGATAAATATCCACAGAACGTGAACCTCTCTGGTTTGAGGTTTTTATTTACAAGTTCATATTCTACAAAGACATAGTACAAAGGAGGAAAAAGAAGATAATTAATCAATATTCATGACCAAACTGAGAAGAAAATTCAGGTAGCTAAAGTGACCAGTGAATTTCCCTTAACAAAAGGGAACTAATACATGTTTACCAGCAGTGTCCCGTGATTCATGCGAGGGAGGATATTTAAACACATGAGCTCACGTTAGCCTCTCTCCAAGCCATGCCAGGCTCACCGTTCAAGGACACTTTAAGCCAGCCTAAGCTGGCATGGCCATGAGCTCCTGCCCTTGGCTTCGTGCCTCCAGCTTCTGCCCTGCCTGCCAGGAGCTGGGTCAGGGAAAAAGAGGGAAAACCTCCACACTCTGCAAACCATGGGATTAGACTAGCCCAAAAGCTGAGACAATTCTATTTCTCAGGGACAGAATTAACATTCAATGCTTTCACGTGCAAAAATGAACTTTGTTCCCCCATCAGGGAACAAGAAAAGGAGCATTAGGGGTGGGGGCAGGAAAGCAGGGGCAGATGGAGAGTGTGGATGGTGGGTGTAGGGTGGGCATTGGGGGAGTCCCCTAGAACCATTAGTTGGAAAAGACCTTCAAGATCATCAAGCCCAGTCAAGTCTTGCTGCAGCTCTATCACTTGCTGATCCTTAGGGCAGGGCAAGCTGAGGTATCTCCAATGGATCGGAAACGGTGGGAAGCTTCTCACCCAACCTGTTCTTGACCTAGCTAGAGCATTGCTCTCATGACCTTCCAGAAAGTCAGGCCTAGCAGTAAGCAGAGACCACAGCTCCACTTTGCATTTTTGCATGGACATATTGCACTGCTTGCTTAAAGTGCTCAAATGCACTACCCCTGTACCAGGGCAGGGTGCTCTGCCCAGGGAGCTCTGCACCAAGCAGGCTGCCAGGAAGCAAGACCCAAAGACCCCAGAGAAGACTAAGCTCTTACCTCTCCCTGGAAACTCTTCAGTAACGGAGCTACCTGTTTGCGCAGGTCCTAGAAGACAGAAACAAGATATTGCATTAGAAAAAGAAAAGATTATGGCATTGTCAAGATTTTACTAAAACCGCTTTCACTTCTGGAACACTACTTAAATCTCAATTGCTTTGAGATTTGAGCTCTGGTAAAGTGAAAGGCATATCTAGAATCTACTTTGAACTAGTCTGTGCTTCCAGCTTGACATGGATGTTATGAGCTCCCTCTTCAGCACCAAATCGCAAACGTTTAGAGCAAGTCACCTAGATGTTTCCAGATATGTTTTGTTGTCTCTTCTAGAGCAGAAGGGTAGGTAGTATCCTCACATACCAACAGCAGCTATGACAGGGCTCTGCACGTTTCGCAATGTGTAATGCAGCAGCGAGGGCACTGAAGAAAATAACTGCAACAACAATCAATGGCCAAGTAAGCGCCTGCAAATCAGGCCAGAACATGGCACACCGGGTTGTAATGTGCAGCGCAATTACACCCCGAGACACCAGATTTGCAATTGGGATGCTGACACCTTTTTAAAAATTGTAAAAATCTGGGAGAAATCACAGCACTCAAGCGCAGCAACATTTCACAAAATAAAAACCGCACATCACAGTTTCATGGTTTCTGCCCCAGCACTGCCTCTAAATCTATGGGCATGTTTAGCACCACGCAGCAAACTGCTACCAGAGCCGCAAGCGGAAACCCGGGAGAGCGGCCTGGACGAGCTGCAGGTTCTCCCGTGTGCAAGCACGGGGCATCGCTCCCACTGCTCACGAGAATCAGAGCTCAGCCAAGGCACAGCTCGAAGGACAAAGTGCCCCCAAGACGCTGGGTGGAATCTGGTGCCGGCCAACGCGAGCTCTGCTGAGAGCCCCAAGCCAGCTCTGACAGGCACCAGCCGTTTGTGCACCTCGTATTTCATGGTATGAGTGGTGTCAGCTCTCTGCAACCATAGTCAGCTTTACTAGGAAAAGATGTTGTTGCTGCATGGGTGGAGAAGCGGGAAAAGGAGGAATATGATGAATGCCAAAATGCCAAATGATTTGGGGGAATATGATGAGCATCCCAATGCCAAAAAGCTCGTCGGTCAAGCTGTCAAAAAGGAAGAAAAGCTGTTGGGGCCAAAAAGGATCGGATTCCCCAATGTGCTTGTTGGGCAGGCTTGGGATGCTGACCACTCACCCCAGCAATCAAAGTGTTGCTAAGCAGAGCTCTTGCCACAGTGGGCAAATGGATCGTGCTCAATTTCGACAGCAGCTTTTGGTGTTGGCGAGGCAATTTTTACAATATCTTGCCATGGAGGTGATGGCAGCTCAAAGCGACTTGGTGTTCAGGTCCTTCCCATTAGCAGCCTGGCACCATCCCAGGACACAGAGACCACCAGAGCACCTGGATTCCCATTGACAAACTGCTTGGAAACGTGAAATCTCAGCAACAACTTGAGATCTGCAGCAGCAACCCACAGGAGAGGAGCATCCTTGGCTAAACAGCATCCAAACTTCACACAGCTCAACAAAAGGCAAGTAAAAATAAACACACGCAAGAGGCAGGACTATATGTGCCTCAAGTCTCTAGCAAAAACTCTGCTGTGGAGATTTATTTTTGGCAGCCGGGCAAAATTCCTCATCAGCCTTTGTCTCAAAATATTCAACTCACATCAAACAGAATTTTACCTTTCCCACACAAAAGCGCACCGAGAGAGACACTCAGCTCTGGCCCAGGGGAACGTGCAGCGCGGCGCAGCAAGGACACTGGATGATTTATGATCTGTTTAAAGTGGAGCGGCCTTTACTGCCGGGGCTGCCATCAAAACAGGAAGAGCCCCGAGCCCCGGCCCGCGCGCCCAGCGAGTCACCGCCGCGGCCGACCGGGGAACACGCCGGTGAGCACTAAAACAAATGAGAATTTATCAGCCCAACTGGCTTGAAATATCCATGCGCTCCTATGCCATCCTATTACTGTCCTGCTACTCCAGTGCCATCTGATGATTTATCAGGATGATTCCAGCTTGGCTAAGCACTGCTGTGGACACTGCGGTACCTGGACACTCGGCACTGGGATGCCCTATCGGGATCTGAATCAAAGCTAATAGCTGAAAGGTAATAGAGTGTTTTCCCCTTTACAGTGGCATGAACAACTAGTTGGTATTTTGATCAAATAGCGACACTGTGAAATCTGAGTCCAAATACATGTTTTTGTAACTCTCGTATTATAATAAAGTCTCACTCTTCAGAAAACAGAACAAGAAAAAATCTATGGTAAGAACTTGGGCAGCAAATACACTTTTCTGACAACTCAATTATGTTATTCATCTGTCTCCATCTTAATGTACAGAACATGTACATCTTAATGTACATGTCTTAACATGTTTATCTTAATGTGCAGAACAAAACCCACGCCGATGGTCAGGTTATTGACACCTTATTTTTAATGAACTTGAGATGTGAAGGTGTCCAGCAGCTCCTGCTCTAGGTCACCATCATCACCAGCTGTTTGGGGGCCAGCACGTGACAAGTGCGATGCTTTGGTCCTTCTGCCCTCTCACCCCGTCGCGCATCTCCTGCCCTTTGGCCTTCCCCGGAAACGGGCACTGCTCGGCACCGCGACACCAGGTGCTTTCTCACCAACACTACCCAGCACCACAACAACCCTCGACATGTGTTTGTGCTGAGGAGATGACGCTGCCAGTCAGGCCACAACCCAAGGGTGGAGGACACTCTGCTTCCAAGAGCTGGTGAGGGCAGCAAGGCCCTCCTCTGTCAGCACGTGGGACCGGGAATACTCATTCCCTTAGAGCAGAGGAGGGTTTCTCTGTGCATCCTCGGGCGGGCACGACGGGCACGCACTTTGTTCACACATCTTATCCCACTGACCCTGCTGGGTCCCTGCTTCATCTGACTCGAGCTGGAAGGGGAGAGGGGAACACAGCCAGGCCCAAAGCACCTGGGGGCAGCTCAGCATCGGCCACGTGTTGGGGTAATACAAACTTTATGCACCCGACCTGTCATCATGACACACAGAAAACCGCAAAATTTATGAACGGGATGGGATAGATGCTCACTTTCCAATACAGAGGGTTTTAAATACTATTTTTTTGTACCCATAATTATGAAGAAATACAGTAAAATACAGTTTCTTCAGCAGAAATCCTGGCCAAACACATCTCAAAGTTCACTAAGGGAAGCCCTAAGGCTTAGTAAGTGCCAGCAGGCTGCTCTAAAAGAAACAAAAATCCCAGAGAGTTGTCCAAACAGGTATCGTATAGTAGCTTAGATGACTTATTTAATTCCTAAAATGTAAGACAAATTACATCACATGAGCAAACAATTCTATTGCTCAATTCACACTGAGATTGAACAAGATAAAAAACCTCTTATTGCTCAAGACTGATGAAGTATTTACTTGAAATCTGATCATTAAAGAATGAATCACTTTGTTATCTATTTGCTATGATATTTTTAGTTATTTTAATACATTAGCATGCCAGGTTTTTCTCTGCACAGAAAAAAAATTATTTAAATTTCATTTATAGATATGCTTTTGCCTAGCACAACGATAAATAAGAAATCCTGATTTACAGTAGCAAAATGTACACCACTACTTTCTGAAATATTTCAGCTCACAGATCCTGTGCAAATTCCATTAGCTTTAATTATTTATTAGCAGTAGATTTAGATTACTGTTCTTGACCTATTTTTCAGTATACGGACCCACCCAGCATGAAGTGAAAAATATATATACTCCATTTGTGAACAGCTGATACTTCCTGAGCGCAGACCTGCAGCTTAACGCAGAAAATTAAGCAAAAACCCATCCGTGGTGACTCATGGGGAGAAGCCTGCGCTTCAGGAAAGGCAACGGAGCAGGGTAAAAATAGCCAAAAAAAAAAACAAAATATAAACCAGATTCTCTGACAAGCGATGGATTTGCGATATTTAATTGCCTTGGGTGGAACCTGGCAACACTTCAGGCATGGGCTGGCCCTCGTTGGAGGGCATCCTCCACAGCCGACCTGCAGAGGAAGCTTCAGATGCTCCTCGGGAAACCACCCCTTGGGTTTCCATCCAACCTGATGTCCTGTGGATCTGGCAGCCCTGGGAAAAACGAGTTTGGGGCCAGCAGGAATTTCAGGGCTGCTCCGGTGGCTCCTGGCCTTGGCAAGGAGGGAAGCTCTGCTCTTCCCAGGCCCAAGAAAGTTGGCATCTCCTCAAGATCATCTGCAAAGGGGTCTCCTTGCCACACACATATATCCTTTGGTCAGGGACTGCCACGGTGCTTTCAATGGAGCTACTCCATGGGATAAGTCATAGTTCCTTGGAAATGGAAACCAATGGAAACCCAACAAGCTTACCTGGTGCCTACACCGCAGTGTATGACCACGCACTGGTTACCTTCCCAACTGTTGAAAGAAACAGCTATGCAAAAGAACTCCTGCATCCATGCATACACATGGGTGTATGTATACGCTTATACACACACCTATATAATTTTTTGAAACTAACTTTACAAACTAATTTACTAAATAGCACATTTGAGAAGCATCCTAAAATCCCACCATTATTTACAAAACAGCAACTTAACACTGCCTGAAAAGACACTGAAGAGAAACAATTCTGATCTTAAAACCTGGAGTTGCTACAAAAAACCAAACCAAACAAACAAACAAACAAACAAACAAAGCAGGTATGGCTTTTTTGGAAGGATCTGATTTGAAGGAAATTCGAGGGGAAATGAAAGGTGGCTTATTTTCAACAGGTCACCAACAAACCCAGAAAAATCCGGCACCCTTTTTTGCACACACATGAATTTTAGAAAGCTATGTCCTGTGCAGCTGCTGTGAAGGCTCCTCCTGCAGCCCTGGCTCGTGCCGACGCCTCGCTGAACACCCCACGCTAGTGACGGTCCCAGGACCCCAAACCTTGCTCTGCCAGGAGAGCCGTCCCACAGGAGCAGCCACATGTCCCTGGGGTCACCAGAACCCACCGCTGCCTGTGACCAAAATGCCCCCAGGCCCACTCCACACC